GGCAAGTTACTGTAATTGTTTGGTCTTCTTTCTTCTGAAGATCCTCTGTTCCTTTTGTCAAAGTGTATTGAGGCTGATTCAGTTACTTTAGAACCACGCTTTCACGGAATAGAATTATCCTTCTTATCTTTTTTTATATTAAACCTATGTCAGTCATTACGCCTATCACATCTACGGTATTTAACTTCACACAGCTATATTCTCTTTTGCTATTATCTGTCTATTGTCTGTCTGTCTGCTGCTTCCCGCTCATCTCACACTAATATCTTTTTTACATAGTCGTCTGAGCACTTTCTATATTCTCGATACCAATTAGCTATTAACAAAATCTTCTACAATTGTCTGCTTTTAACTCTTATTATAACAAAACTTAAAAACAATAAAGTATTCACTCACAAATGTAAAATAATCACTAATATTTAAACCAAACAGTATTTTATATCATGACACTTACATTACATATTTCTATCATACATTTCACACCATTATTTTGTGTAGTTTCTTGTCTAATGTGTTTTTAGTGTATATTACACATGTAATATCCTTGTTATATCTAGTCTGTTTTCTAACATGTTTTTAGTGTATATTACAAACTGTTGTTTTATCTAGTGTCTTATTTAATGTGTTTTTGGACTATATTCCATGCCATTATTACTTATAGTGTACATTCCATGGTTATTTTATCTGGACTCTGTTGTCTGTTGTATTTCTACTGTGTATTTACACATTTGGTTTTTAATTTAGTATTTCTTATTGATGTGTTTCTAGTATATGTGACATAGTAGTTAGGGTGCTTGACTTGCAACTTTGAGTCAAGGGTTTGAATCCCGTAACCAAACAAGCTGTCATTTTCAGGTCAACCTTTATTAGAGTAGCCCAAGAGTTGGTGGTTGGTAGTGTTAAATAGCTGCTTTCCCTCTTCTAAATTAGGGACAGCTAGTGCAGTTAGCTCTTGAGTAGTTTAGTGTGAAATTCAACAATCTAGTGCTCATTCCACACCAGTGTTTTATCTATTGCCTAACATATTTTAATTGTACATTCCACACTGTTATGCTGAATGTTCTGTTGTGTAACATTGTTTCTAATTGTCGGTTGAATGATGACTTTCCACTTTCATATAATTGTGGGTTTATAAAGTAACTACTACATTTTTAAGTTGTGGGCTTAGAAATTGAAGTACATGTCTGTCAAGCAAGAACTAAAAGAATTATCAACTGAAAGTCAAACATTTTCAAGTGTTTCTGTTTTTATTTTTGGAAAGATATCTTACATCCAGAAGTAATTCTTTTTCCAGAATACAAGAACTTTTAAAGTTATTAATACCTTTTTACTTTGTATTGTTAGAAAGATCTCTAAACTTAACTATATTTATCTCTCCAGCATATAGGACCTCTTTCTTTTTTATTGTTGAAAAAATATGTGAACCCAAGCAGTATTTATCTTTCCAGTATGCAAGAATGACATTGTTGTTGTTGGAAAGTCTCTGAACCCAAGCAGTGTTTGTTTTTCCAACACACAGGGTTTAATTTCTGATTATTACTGTAAAAATATCTGAAAGCATGCAGGAACTCCTTACTTTATTATTGTTGATAAAATCTTTTAATCATGTGGTATCTTTTTTTCCAGCATGCAGGAACTCTTCACTTGGCTTTTTGAGGTGGAGGAAAATTCAGGCTACAGTGACAATGGACAAATAATCTGGCAGCTTCGCTATATTTTAGACACTACAGTTAATGACCAGTATAACTTCGACAATGACAAAGTACAGATGATGTCAAGACTGGACATTCAGAAAGATGACGTACAAGCCGTCTTACCAATTGCCAAGGTGTGAAATATTCCATTAAATATAAATAATTAAAGTTAGCTTTAATAAAGTACACATTTCATTCAAACAGAAGAACAGTAAAGTCAGTCAACATTTTGATAAGGAACCAATGAATAACTAAAGTTGTGCAAATGCTTTTGTGAAATAAATATGTAGGAAGAGTAAGTTATAACTCTGAAGAGTAACAGGATCACAGACTCATACTTTTAAAAGTTATAATATAATATTGGTTTAACAACTAATATCAAAACTTGGGTTGTTAGGCCTTGTAACTGATGAAGTAAAACCAGCGTACAGTTTTATGGGTGAAAAATTGCAGAAATATTGTGAAGTTTTCTTTATGTAATATGCATTACTATATAATGTTCATACATTATAAGTCCAGTAGAGAACATTACACTAGCAAAGCAACACACTTTATTTGTAATATAGCAGCACTTGTATTAATTTTGATATCGAAATGGACCCAAAATATGGAGTTCAGATGTGTTAGGTTGCTCATCTTTTGGTTTTTACCTTGAACCGAGCAGCTTCATATTCACTGGCCACTTAAATTTTTGAACCAAGGTTTATTGGAACCAGCAAGAAAGATTTTAAAATATTCACTCATGAACTGCTAAGTTTCATGACATGACGACTGTAGTGTTACGTCACCAACTTTACCCGCCTGGCTGATTACCTAACACTTTCATTGGTTGAGAAACTTGCTTTCCTGTCAGCACTGCTGTGTTCAACAATTGGGTGGACTAGATGAATGGAAAAGAACCAATGGTAAACATTACAGTTTATATAAATAGTTCAAATTAAGTTTATGGCATAATTATGCAAAGAGTCGAATAATTCTCTCAAAGAACAACCTTACTTTAACTATTTATATAAACTGTAATGTTTACCATTTTCCATTCATCTAGTCCACCCAATTGTTGAACACAGCAGTCCTGACAGGAAAGCAAGTTTCTCAACCAATGAAAGTGTTGGTAATCAGCCAGGCGGGTAAAGTTGGTGACGTAACACTACAGTCGTCATGCCATGCAGCAGATGAATCGATTCTTAAGGTTAGAAATTTTACTTTCAAATAGTTAAACTTATTAGATTGTCATTGTTCATAAATGGTAATTGGAGGGATATTTTAACTATGAACAAAACTACTGTTATAAGATAATGTTGTTTACCTCCCTCATTTCACTGTTAAGCACATAAGACATCTGATGATTAGTTACGTGATTTAAAATGCAAATGATTGGTTATTCAACTTATACTGTCTACAGTCTTGTCTCAGTTGGCACTTTGAAGAGAACAACAGAGCTTAATGTCCACAAAATTTTACTTATGTGGTGAGATAGTGGATGAACTGAACCTGACCAATTGACTACAAGTGTCTCAAAATTTTATTAGTAAAATGTGGAACTAGTCTTTGGTACAGTTTCTCAGACACCCATGATGTAACAAATCACAACATAAGCAGACAACCACTAGGTGTCAGTTCTGACTCAACAAAATCATAGGTTACTTAAGACTGAATCAGGTGTTTAGGACAGCAACTGGGCATTGAACTATTGGAAACAGGGTTAGGAGTAGACTTCACAAGGCCAGCCTGTATGTCAGATGTCCAATGATGGTCGATTGAGTGTATCTTACTCACCTTAAGGCACAAAAAAAAGCTTTCCTACAATGACGTTAAGAATATATCCAGCAAACCAACACTATTGGAGCAATAATCTTTTTACAGATGAGTCTCACTTTACCTTGCAACCAGAAGCAGGTTTGGATGAAATTTGAAACCAGATTCAATCTCCTTTTTATAGATGGAAGTGATAGTTATGGAGATATGGTTTGAGAAGTTCTCTTCTTCATTCTTTGCAATGGTACCATTAAAATAACACATTATAACAGAGTTTCTACACCTTAAGTGATTCAGGTTTCCATGACTTTTCCAAAACTTTCCATAGCTTTCAGAACTGATTTTCCAGACCAAATATAACATGAAATAAATAATATAATGTACATTAAGTGTTTATTTTGTATACATTATGTGAAAATATATACATGTATGACTACATTTGAAACACAATAGGACATAGATTAACAATTCTTTGACTTTTCCACCATCTTTACAATTTCTTCATGGAAAATTTTAAATTCTAAGGCCCTTTTTTTTTCGGTTTTTCTGAAACTATTTGATTTTGCCAAATCAATCATATTGCCTTGCTTTTTGGCCATGTCAGTAAGACCATCAGCAGCCTCAGTTAAGGATGCTATATCTTTTTCAAATCTTTGGCTCTTAGCATTAAGTTTTGCAATATTCTCAAAGATATGTTTCCTTTTCTGTGTCTTTTCATTCAGTTTAGCTGTCTCGCTCTATTGATGTAGGTATTGGTTATATTTCTCTATATCACTTTGAGTGGCAATAAATACTTCCAACTTACTGCACGTAATCATAGATTAACCACTGACCAACATCCTTCATGTTTTGAAACATTAACCCTTCATTCACAGAAAAGCTTCTTTCAGCAGTTGCTGGGCCATGAGAAAGTGTCAAAATGAGTTTGACAACACACTGTAAGGGCTCTTAACTCTTTCAGCCCGGGCTTGGCCCCTGGGACTGACCTCATAACCATTTTGTGCTTGTTATAGTTTT